TTTGAATAAAAGTAATCAGTCGTTATCTTTATCCTCATTTTAAAACTAATTACTCTAAACCGTAAAAGATAAGGATGATCTAAACGTACTAATTAGAACTTCTCAAACTTTTTTTATTTGCTGTAGTGAAGAAACTTCCAGCACTGAATTTTAGTTTTTGCTTGATTTGACATAGTACCTACTTCTTCTTCGTTGTACTAGTATTTTCAAGTGTGTAAACTTTCAGTGTAATTAAGAGTAATTAAAATCGGGTATTACAAATTAATGAAACAATCCGTTAAGCTGCACGCTATATCAAAGACTGGTGTGTGGTAATTACAGCCCACTTTGAAATATACTGTCGATAGGAAAAATAAATTCACCTGTTTCTTTACATCACCATCAAACGATTCCTTGAACACGAAGAGTCAATTTGTCAGTTAGAATGCGCCAGGGTACCAATTTTTTCAGTATATTTTCAGTAACTAAGCACAGATTTGTCGTTTTTTCTTCTATCGAAGTTTAGCTGGTAATATAATTAACAACGCCTGCCGAGAAAACATTTCAATGATAAACTCTCAAAGTCATTTATTTATATAGTTTACATACCACGTACACTGTGTATATGTTTTCAAGTATAAAAATGCTTTATAGGTAGTTTTATATCAGGATATATTTGTAAAATTTAAGGATTTTGAAATTAATCAGGGAAATGAATTGGAGTTTAACGTCCAACTTTTCTGCCCTGACTGAAATAGGATTAAAAAGACGGGTGTACTGCATACAATGTGCTATGAAGATAATTATTATTACAATAAGGATGCTAGTACCTATGTTTCTCTCTCAGATCTATCTAGGTAAAATATCGCCATTGGTTGAAAAGAACCAGGTTTGATAAATTGATAAATTCTGTAGATTGGTACTAGATCTGAACACATGACGTCACTTTTGTCAGGTCATTGACCTACCTATATGACAAAAGTGGGAGCTTGTTCTATCCACGTTGTTAATTTATTTGCCAAATTAGACTGAGAAACGGGCCAATACATGCCACGAAACTGTAAAAACCCATTTATTTTTGTCTGGTTTGACTAAGAGGGTTCATCTAATAATGTATTTTTTTTCTTTCAAAGATCAGTACTCTTCGGTTAAGTTGATCGATGATAATTATTTTTGTGTTTTCTCAACGTGGTGTTTTGGTGTCGAAATGAATATAGTCAGTAGACAGAAGATAAAACTAGGTCCACACGGACACATACATTTTTGGTGAACTCCTTAAATTGAGTGGCTACACCGACCTTCACAAACCTTCACATAAAGAGTGGAGATGGGGTTAAACGCCTATTAGACACAAACTTGGTCATCTCGGGACTAACATATCGTACAATTGTATTTCAATAATACGCATTCGAGTAGGGGTCTTTAGCAGTAGGAGGAAATCAGGGTGGCCAGGATAAAACCCACTAAGTTGTTCAGACTACCCTACTCATTGTTACGTACAGACTTGGGATCGAAACCATGCCACTTGACTCAATGACAGATCTTGTGATCTAAAACGCACGTGTCAAAGCACTCGCCCCGCCCCCCATACATGGAATACGGAAAGGTTATCGTATATTAGTCTTAATATTTTGTAAATCTGGTGTTGGTTAGTCATTGACCTCTGCGTATTGTAATAATTAATTCGTTTGAATTCCACATCCCAGACTTTGTGGCTAGTTTGAATCACTATGACATCAAACTCCGTTAAAGTAATCTTTCTTTTGTTTGTATAGTGTCATGATGGGATTCTCAATGACTTTCATATTTCTTGTAATAATATGCAAGCTACTATTTACAGGGTTTACTTTAAAAGCAGGTGGTAAAAGAACGCACAGCCACATAAAATGATAGTATGCCATATCATTTAGGTAGGTTCGTGTAAAAACCTTTGTTTATTTACTAACATTTGGCTATGTTTGTAGTTTGTATGGTAATAACAGTAGACTTATTGGCATTATTGGGATTGGTAGATACTTATATCTGGTAGGTTAGGATCAAATATCTGTTCCTGGTACTACCCATACCCTATTTAACCATAACCTATTTACCCATATCATTTTTAACCATATCCTATTTACCCATATCCTATCTAACCATATCGTGTTTAGCCATATCCTATTTAACTATGTCCTATTTACCCATATCCTATCTAACCATATCCTATCCAACCATACCTTATTTACCCATATCCTATCTAATCATATCCTATTTACCCATATCCCATTTACCAATATCCTATTTACCTATACCATATTTTACCATACCCTATTTACCAATATTCTATTTACCCCATCCTATTTACCAATATCCTATTTATTTATATCCTATTTACCCATATAATATTTAACCATATCCTATTGAACCATATCCTATTCCATACCCTTTTTAACCATACCTTATTTAACTATATCCGTTTTACCTATATACTATTTACCCATATTCTATTTACCCATATCCTATTTAGCCATACCGTATTTATTATTCATGTCTGATTTACTATTCTTCAAACGATCACACATGGGTAACGACTTCATTATTAAGTATACATTTAACAGATACTGGTCGTCACCAAATGGGGGTCAGGCAGAAATTCCTGACCTTTCAAGTGAGCTTTCCACTCGTCAGATTTAGCAGCTGACAAGGCATGTATTTCTGCTCATACGGATTAAACGGAAAAACGAGATCAATATTAGTGTGCACGTAAAATAACCCTACACACATGACAGTGGTAAATAAAACGGCATGTTAGCCTTAATTTGACCTAATGACATTAATTAAAGGAGCAGTAAGTCTTTAGTTTGGATGAACTGTTGAATTGTTTTGATCGGGTGGTGTTACTTTAGTTTGGATGAACTGTTGAATTGTTTTGATCTGGGGGTATTACTTTAGTTTGGATGAACTGTTAAATGGTTTTGATCTGGGGGTGTTACTTTAGATTGGATGAACTGTTGAATGGTTTTGATCTGGGGGTGTTACTTTAATAAGTCTATCTGCTTACATGTTATAGTTTCAATTTTTACTTCAACTGTCGACTGCAAGGTTTTATTTCCTCACTGACCTAATCTACGTATGGAATTCATTAATGAAGCAAATTTTAAGATGCCAAAATTTTATTTAAAGAGTAATTTTGATTTTTAAGCTAAATAATAATATAAGATTTGTTTTGGAACAACCGCTGTCGTTGACATTACGAATACATTACAGACGTTTAATGTCCGACATAACTTACATTAGAATTCATCACATTTTCTTTGGATTGAACTCCTTTTATCACAAATGGTGCTTCATGTGGCAACGTCTTGCTCAAATCCATATACGAGGTTCACATTTGAAATCTTGAGATACACAAACTGGAAATACCATACTAGTAAACTACCCCCATCCTTACATTTCAAACTATGTTTTTAAGATATGTACTCAACAATGTAAATAATGTTCAGAAATATCGTAGGTCTGACTCTTATCGGCTGTGTATGGAGGCATCGTTCTAGGGTTAATAATATAGACTGTACATATATTTCGAATTGACGGGCTTTTGTTAGAAAAAATCTAGGACATGATTATGATGTGATACTCCATTCACTTATAACTTTTATGACCATTTATTATATATTATGAATTATTCTATCTAGTGGATAATGTCTGTTTTTTTGGCCGTCATACAAGTTCGAAATCGACGTATTAAGTCTAACAAAAAACAATTTTGATTTATAAATTACTTGGTCGGGGTCTGAATTCAGCTCACCGTCTCCACTTTATGGATTACAAATCTTAAAACTACACACCAGACAATCTTTATAAAAAAAATATTTATATTAAATTTTCATCCATCATAATAAAATTTAGATGACTGATGGGAAGTAAATAAAGATAAAAAATAGTTTGATAATTTTTAAAGAGGCATTATTTCGAATAATATATTTAAAATAACTCTAGACTCTAGACTCTCCTAATTATAGAAAATCCTAATATTGGCCTCCTTAGAGGATAATGGTTTTTACGAGTGCCTGCTAAACGCCGTAATAAATATCTGTACAAATTTTGCATGCAAACTGATTTCAGTACACCCCTTAATATTTTACTAATCGATGATGCTTTTGATCATCATTATTTACTGACTTAATAGGTAAAAGTATTCTTTTTCAATATGTTTTAGAATGTCTGCGATACCACTATTGTTGAAGCATACGCTAAACAATCAACACCGGTCAGTCATTTGTTCTTGTGATTCAGGTTGTTGATGCAGCTCCACTGCACTTTCATTTCTAAGTATTAGTTTAATGTCTTCAATAAAGAATACTAAAACTCCGGAACCATTAATTAAGGAAACAAAAAGTCCCCAAATAAAGTGTCTTCTTTATTAAAGAGAGTTACCTCAACACGTTTTTTAAGAACTTGTTAATCGGAGTTAATTGAATTGAGGATATTTACCACCATTGACTGACAAATGGGTGAAGTGGACTTACAGCCTAATCATTTCTTTCCTAACATTAGTCACAATTTTCAGAATCAATATGTTTGGTGCAACACCGAGTAAAAGAGAGAGAGAAAATATTCAAGTCACACGACAAGTATGCTTTATTGGCAAAACTATTAATAATATTAGACTGCCTGTCTCTTGAGCTGTTTATTTTTGACTCACTATTTAGCAATAATTCATAAGTTATCATTTTTAGATTGAAAACAATCGGCACCACCAGGCCGCTGCAATCAGATACAAATGATAAAATAATTGAAAGACCAACAGCAGTATGCTTCATGAAAGGCGTGTAATAAATCTATCGATTAAATACAATTGGTTAGCTGAATTATGTTTTTGTAGAACACAAAATAGATACATTTTCATCATTAATATATCTTTACTGTAATAAATCTTACAAGATAGGCTATTGATTTCAGTCTATATATTATTAGCCAAGTGAATTATTGTGTATGTGTTTTATGCCAGTTAGAGAAAGGGAGGTGGATTCACTTGGCCTAACACTGACTGCCAATCATTGTACTGAGCCGATCGGAGCTGTAATATCAAAATAGATTGCTGCATGCGTGAGAAAATCTAATCAAGTTGCCCAGACGAAGATAAAGTCTGTTTCTATTCCCTCCTCTTGCCTTACACCAAGTGGAATGGAGATGTGAAATAACCAGGTAAGTTTGTTATTAAGATATAGTTTTAATTTTCTAGCAGTTCCACTGTTTCGTATTTAATGGTTATTGTAAAGAAGACGTTGTAATGCATGGCCTACTTGCTTCGTTATTGATGGTGTGTGCTTCTCACTGATAGGTAATAGCGTATATATGTTACACGCTTCTTGTATGTAATATGGTAATGGATAGATATGTGTATATATACCAATATGCCACCAAGGTTGTAATTACTAATGCATTACCATGTCCTTGTATAGAAAATTGCAAGACATGCAGAGACCACAACTGTGTTCATAATTAATTACTTAGTAGTATATAGCACCCGTTGCATTGAGTTATCGTCCCACGTGGTGTGTGTTAATAAGTATGTTTCATTGTACTATGGTCCGGTATTCCACCTTTCTCTTATAAAAATGTACACGTAATGTATACAGAGACAAACACAACAAGGCGGATGCTCAATCGGAAGTAGGGACGGAAGGGGAATTTCGGGGTTTATTTCTAAGTTCTACTCACTGGCTGACAAATCAATCAAGCCGCTGATTTCATGCCAGAATTGTTCATATTGAAGAATTTTGGAAGATTGCCTCTCGTGAAATCTCATTAGCAACATTTCCTGTTTGCCGCATTGTAACATGGACCACAGCCATTAAAGTTCCGGAATTTAATAAAGGTAACCGGTTTGATAATATAATAGCTACCACACAGCATGTATTACATGAACACATACGACTTAGAAATTAGGTTTATTTACTTAGTAGTATATAGTACCCGTTGTATTGAGTTATCGCCCCACGTTGTGTATGTTAATAAGTATGTTTTATTGTACTATGGTCCGGAATTCCACCTTTCTCTTATAAAAATGTACACGAAATGTATACAGAGACAACACATCAAGGCGGATAACCAAACGGAAGTAGGGACAGAAGGGGAATTTCGGGGTTTATTGCTAAGTTCTACTCACTGATTTCAGGACAGAATTGTTCTGTAATGAGGTGTATCTCCTCGTGACACAGAATTAAACCAATGCATCGAAAATTTCAAATGATATAATACTATGAAAACAGTATTCCCGATGAAATGTGGGAAGGTGAGGTCGTGTATACTTTACAAAGATTCAAATCATTGTTACGAGTTCATTTTCGTTTAATCGTAGTGTCAAATAACTAAACAATAAAGAGATTATTGCGCTGAAATTATCCAGATGTACGTATATCCCAAGCCAGTTGAATCAATAAGTTAAACACGGCGAAACTAGGTATTCAAATTTGACATATTTCAAATGATAACGACTTTCCTTCACCGTCCTTTGGGTAGATAAATCCCGTGAGATTTTTTTAACCTTTAGACTTGTTAAGATCAATTATTGTAAATAAAGAAGTCTCAGAAGTAGGATGTCTATTGTGGGTTACATACATAGTAAGTACTTGTATAAATACAAATATAGCTTATAAACACCATAAGCTGATATTTTAAACATGACAAAATTGAATTACCAACGTACTATTTGTATTTAATTATTGTAATCCCTAAGCAGTGCCAAACTCAAAAAGAGTGTAGCAGTTAGAAATGCTGCATTGGGCTATATTTCCATCAAAGCAGATGGAGTAAGATGGGGGGAGAGGACCTTATTGTTCAAAGCTACAATATATTTCCAAAGACAGGATTATGACACCATGCATTATTATTCTTGACTTATTTTTTGTCTAATTTATGGAATTATTTAATCAAACAAAATGTAGGTGTAGAAGAGAGTTATTTATAGCGAAAACGTACATTACAAACCTGAAACCATCATGCATTTTTAATAGGATGCAGATTGCACGATGCTAATATATCTCTCACTTTTTGGCATAGCTCAATAAACGTTTGGTTGAAATTAAAGGTGTGAACATGTGACGGCCCCTTGTGTTCATATTAACTAAATTATACCTGATAACCATTCATATATTTATCAGTGGAAGTTGGATTGTAAGGGGAATTCCCATAAAGTGATTATTTACTGTACTCAGCTCATCTCGACATGCTTATTGGAATGTTTATGTAAATATACTGTAACGTAAATTATTTATCATCGATATGACATAGTTAAGTCTTTTCAATAATGGGGTCACTTCCAATCCCGCTTTAATGAAATAACATAATGACACATTTTGCTGTCTTTCTACATCGAATCCCGAATATACAATGATGGAGAAATATTTAGCGACATTAATTGGGATATGTTAATGTTTATTGAGATCTGTTGTGCTCTATTCATATTTGCTGGCTATATTTATGTTTATAGTGAAAGATGTATATTTGTTGTCTAGATCGATATATGGTGAGTTAGATTTCAATTTATATTTGTGGGTTATATTTATATTTTTGGGCTAGATTTAGATTTATATTAAATGTTGGTCCAGATTTAGATTTATAATTGTTGGCTATATTTATATTTGTTGGGCTAGATTTAGATTTATATTAAATGTTGGGCTAGATTTAGATTTATATTTGTTGGCTATATTTATGTTTGTTGGACTATGGTTAGATTTCGATTGATATTAACTGTTGGGCAATGGTTAGATTTCGATTGATATTAATTGTTGGGCTAGATTTCGATTTATATATGTTGGGCTATGTTTATATTTGTTGGCTATATTTATATTTGCAAGACTAGATTTAGATTTAAATGTGTTGGCTATATTTATATTTGTTTGGCTAAATTAAGATTTATATTTGTTGAGCTAAATCTAGATTTATATTCGTTAAGCTAGATTTAGGTTTGAATATTTGCTACTGGAGAATATTTATCTTTATTTATATGTATATTTTCAAAAGTTTAATTGTATTTTAGAAACATGGCGTACATAATGTAGACATATCTTTGTTAAATTATTGAACAAATTAGAGTTTACACAAGAAATGTGCATTGGGTGTACATATACGTACAACAAAATGAAAAATTAGAACTGAGCACTTAGAAAATAATAACTAAGAATTCTTAACAATGAACTGGCATGTCCCCTACACTTTAGGCCCTATCAAACAAGTAATAAAATGAAGTATTTAGGTGTCAAAATATATAATTATGCTAAAGTTAATTATAAAGTATATATATTTTTTTCAATTCTCAATGAATTGTTGCAAATTGGTAATTCATTTAATGAAAGTGATTCCATTTACTTTATGACCCAGTCACTCTTGAGTAAGACCCATTAAATCGATTTGGTTACTGCCATTGTTTGAAAGTTCTACACCTTCAATCTTCCAATGTCGTAACCCCAATACCCAATGCAGTTAAATCTCTGTTCGATTGGCATATTTATGATTTTCTGCCAATTGGTTTTGACCCACACGATACATCAAGCCAGTTCTTTACCAAGGAAATACCAGTGTTTCTAAGAAACTTTCAAGTACAGTAATACCTTTAATTTCAAGTTTCCCTAAGACGTAAAACAAAACAAAAAACAGCGTGAGCTTCAAATCCTTAAGAAAATGAGCATCATCGATCAAGCAATGTATTTATAGCACACTGACATAATTAAAGTGTAAAGAATCGTGTGCCTGTTTTTACCCCTTCGCATTCTAAAGCGCCAATACTTTTTCCAATTGCAAGAACGATGCAAAAATAAGTTAGTTAATGTGAATTTTGTATTCGATATTTTAAAATTAGAAAAAAGTATCACGCATGTTTACGATGAAAGGGAATGAGTTGTCTTAATTGAACTATGGCGGGGTATCAGGTTCAAAATGCGATCTGCAGTAGAAAGTAGAAAATAAAAAGCAAAAGAGAAAATCCTTATCCAAAATGGACATTTTCGTGTGGGAAACACATACCGCTCGTGCTTTTTTAACCTAATACGTCCACCTTTTCAACTTAAAGTCGTAAATATTCTACTTTCAACAACCTAATTTCTACTTTCAACAACAGAATATCTACTTTCAATAATCAACTTTTGACATTCGACTTTCAACTTCCGATTTTCTACTCAAGATTTTCTGCTCGAGATTTTCTCCATGCATTTTACGGAAATAAATTTGATCACGTGACTATTTCTGCATGTCATTAAAATACGGTATCTATAGGATCGTTTATTTTTACGGGAAAATACCGTATTTTAATGACATGCAGTAAACGGGACGCAGAATGGAATGTTGCTCGACAAAATAACAGTAACCTTTTCCCATACAGTCATTATTTTAAACTAGTACAAAATTGACGAAAAAGCATATCCCTGCGTTAAAATTATGCATGGCTCTGAATTCCGACAGGAAACTTCCTTGCGGCGAGTTCTAAAAAAAATGATAACGTGCCGAGCGTGTACAATGTGCCTGTAAAGGGCCAATAACTAGAAATATATCGACAGTATACCCCCATATAAAATGTTAGCTTGTATGTAAATCATCCTTACCATTTCTGCTTCGCAAAGCAAAGAACTAACTAAAAACCGTTAATTATCCGTAAAGCGAACTACCGTTCAATCTTTGATATTTAAACCCTTAAGACGCGCGCATGCCCGATATCTTTTCACAAATTTCTAGTCACCGTCGTGGTCGTTGTGGATGGTATGTAGTGAACGAGAATTCCCCTTCTGATACACACACACATTTTCCCCACTGTCTGCAACACAGTTTATACAAAATTAAACATGGTGCCTGCCTTCAAAATCTCAAACAGTCATCTCCATTAAAATCAGCGTGTATTTAGAAATAGATTTTATCAATTTTTATAGTTGGTCGGATATGTCTGTCTGTAATGTACATATAACCGACGAAAGGCCCGGACAGTCTATCCAGCTGTATAATTCACCACAGACCAATGATTATTCGCCCGCAAAAAACCCTTGGTGTGCACGAACTTTTAAGAATAATTTAAATTTAACACGTTCAAATGAGACTATTTAAAAGGTACTTACTTATTTGACCACGCTTTAAATATACGCAATAACAATATTAATTAATAGCGTTACTGCCAGAATTCAGTTAGGTATGAATGAATGAAGTGGGGTTTATCGTCC